ACCAAAGGTGAAGTTAAACAACTCAAGATTAGCTGGTGCCCTGACTACTCCTGTGTGTGTGTGTGTGTGTGTGTGCGCGCGCGCGCGCGCGCATGAAAAGATCTCCACGGACCTCAGCAACCTGGGATTCAAAACAACTTGGGTTTCTCCCTTTTTTGCCGTTGTCAGCAAAAGAGTAGTGCAACGCTCACTCATAAAAATATGCACCGCACAATTCCAATTAACGCGGCTGAATCTATTGGTGTATCAACTCACTGCTATGCAGTACAACCGTTGTATCAACATGGCTTTGGCGCACCTGGCAGAATAAGCAATAATAAGAAACACAGCGGATAGTAGCACCCAGTGGTGTCTTTCTGCCGGCTCTGCAAGGTGTCGTTTTTGCTTCAATCAATATTCCTTCCCTTGCCTAACAGAACAAAAAGCTGAGGAGGTTATTTTATGTCTAATATATAACCCCCCCTACCTGCACTTAACTCCGTTGTGGTTCCAATTAGTGTAAACACCATTCAAGCACTGGCACAGAACGATATTATCCAAAGCTTTGGGGTGCAATCCCAGGAAAGTTGGATGCACTAAGCCCCTCTTAAGTGCTTATTTATCTATGCTGGGCCTGTACAAAAGGACCAAACAAGCCATATGCAGCCTATTGTGGCCTGCCAGGGGCCTGACACCCCCCATGTTTTTGCAGCCCTGAGCAGACAGCAAAAACAAGATGTTTGCCAAGTCCCTGAGTGGGCTGTCATTAGGGAAGAAATTAGATTCCTTTCACGTATTCAATGGCAAACCTACCTAATTTGCACTTTCCATGAACCGAAACACATTCGTCTTCCGAAATTCGCACTTCTCCAAATTTTGTAGTGCATCTCTCCAGGCAAGCAATGCATACGAAAGTGCAAGCACTGAGGTAAAGCGTGGATACAAATGCGTTACAGTGGGGGAAATCGCTTCGCAAAAAAAATGCGTCTTTTAGGAGAAATTCACAAGAAAATGCTGGTGAATTTTCATGATGTGAAATGAAAGAACAAATCCGCAAACTGATAACGGAAATATGGAGAACTGAATTTAAGATTAGAAAAACGAGTCACTGAGAGAAAACAAGATTGGCAGATTTGCCTATCCCTAGCCACCATAAACGACAGACTGTGTTTGACTTAGTTGCTGGTTCAAGTCCTGTAGCCTGATCTTTAAATTTGGTCCGCAATCCTAGTATATAGCAAAGGTAGGGGATCTTTTTTCAGTCTGAGGATCTCATGGCAGGGGCCAAAAACAAAAGTGGGGGTGCTCAAAGAGTGCCTTGGTGAAGCTAGCAGGGAACAGGGAGATCTTCGCATCCACATGTACACCACACAGACGTACAGGCAGACATGTAGCAGGCAACAGGCATGTATGTCTACACTGTGGAACTCCCTGCCTATTGATATCAATCAGGCACCTTCACTGCATGCTTTTTAGTCCCTGCTAAAAACAAGCCTACCCAGATGCTTTAAAAGTCAAGGTGAATTTTAATTTAGTATTTTAACTTTTTGCATGTTTTAATTTTTTATTGATTTTGTCTTTTTGTAAACCGCATTGAGAGTTCTTGTTGTTGTTCACAATCAAATAGCATATAAAATGTTATGAAATAAATAAACAACATGTAAGTGCATATCGGTTTGGTTTGTTCTTGCTTTTATCATGTATTTTGTTTTGTTTTTTATGCTGTATTTTTTGTTGTTGTGAACCACCCCAATATCTATGGATGAAGTGCGGCATAAAAATTTAATAAATAACAACCACACCACATACACACATGGCCAAGTAGGAACCCAAAGGACCCTGGTCATCACTGCTCAGCTGGCAGCAGGGAGGCGGAGACGGCTAAGCTCCACTCACCTCCCCCTTCAGCAGCAGCTGGAAGCAGAGATTCCCACAGAGGGCTCTTCTACGGTCCCACTTGTTCTGCCCACAAGGAGGACTGGAGCAGAGGAGCCTTTGTGGGCCCCATCAGGCCCTCAGACTGCCATTTCACTTCCCCCACTATACTATACAGTGGTACCTCAGGTTAGAGACACTTCAGGTTACATACGCTTCAGGTTACAGACTCCGCTAACCCAGAAATAGTACCTCGGGTTGAGAACAGAAATCGTGCTCTGGCAGCGCGGCAGCAGCAGGAGGCCCCATTAGCTAAAGTGGTGCTTCAGGTTAAGAACAGTTTCAGGTTAAGAATGGACCTCCGGAAGGAATTAAGTTCTTAACACGAGGTACCACTGTACATACTGACCTGCGAGTAAGTCTCACTGAACTCATTGCTTGGGGAGCTGCTGTTTCAAATTTCCTGTCACGTCTTTGATGAAGAAGAACCGTGATGGGATTACTCCAGTTTTGTGTTAGGTAGAGTGAGGTGGGCACCTCAGGCACCCAATTTTCCATGTCATTAAAGAGCAGGAAATCAGTGGTTACTGTCATCTGGGCAGCCCAGCACCTCCATACCCGCCACCCAGGCTTGCACCCCAGAGAGGTCACTTTGGTGCTGCTAATGCAGTGAAAACAACATGGGAGAGAGCAGTTATGAGTTACCGGTCTCTGTGGCCACAGCAGGCGTTGTGATCCTCCAGTGGTTTGACTTCACTTCCAAAGGCGCACATCATTGTCCCTCAAGACAGAAAGATGCCAACAGCAACAATAAAATACTGTTGTGTTTCTGTGGTCAAGAGGTGGGAAGAGGCACAGAAACTGAGGTTCGTAAAACCACATATTGCCATTTGCACCACACACCTTGCACCATGGGTAGGCAACCTAAGGCCCGGGGGCCAGATGCAGCCCAATCGTCTTCTCAATCCGGCCCATGGACGGTCCGGGAATCAGCATGTTTTGACATGAGTAGAATGTGTGCTTTTATTTAAAATGCATCTCTGGGTTATTTGTGGGGCATAGGAATCCGTTCATTTTAATTTTTTTCCAAAATATAGTCCGGCCCCCCACAAGGTCTGAGGCACAGTGGACCGGCCCCCTGCTGAAAATGTTTGCTGACCCCTGCCTTGCACTATGGCTATCCCTTCACCGCCATTTTATGCCCAGCTCTGCCCAGTCATCCATTTGGCATGGGAAGTGAAAGCACCCCCAGGGTACCATCTTTCTGCTTTTGTGGGGGTGCTGCCAACAGGGTTCCCTCATGCTTTGGCCCGCAGCTCACATCAGGTCCAGCCAAGATAGCCAGTGGTCCAGGATGATGTGAGTTGTAGTCCGCAATATATGGTGGGCACCATGTTTTCTCCTCCTGGGTTAGAAGCTATGTTGCTTGGGCCTCATTTGCATCCTCTGCAAAACAAAATCAAGTAGGAGGCAAGGAGAGCCATTGACAAAAATCACTTGAAAAGGTGGAATTAGAGTTGACTTCACCAGAATGCTCACATTAGGAGGAACATTCTCATGTGCGCCCTTGGAACAATGGGAGAGTTGAAGATTTATTGCATTGCCAATTTGACAGCAGTTTTTAACCAGTCAATAAGAACACACCAGATTCTGCCTATACTAGAATAGATGGGAGGTTTATCATCAGTCCAACAATGTGACTTAATATTGTCTACCAATTCTGTAGTGATCATTAGGTCAGCGGCCAGCTTTCTGCTCTCCTAGCAGCTTAGCAAAAGACCAAGTGACAGACAATTTCAGCCTGACCTCTGCTGTTTTTATCGTGATGGGCTATATGTTTTTAATAGATTTATATACAGTTTCAATTCTATTAATGTTTGATTGTTTTCTCTCCTACGTTTTTAGATGTTCTTATTTTATCCATAATCCACCTTGAGTCGCTGTCAGGGGGAAAAGGCAGGGTATAAATAGATGTATGATGATGAGAATAATAATCATAATGCAAATTTTGATTGAGCTTCGTTTGGCCTTTTGCTTAGAGTGTATCGTGACGAACACATTTCTTGCTCTGATGTCGAAAAACAGTTTTGCATTTTAAATATTCTGGATTATTTTTTTTTTTAAAAAATGGTCAGATGTGGAAAACATGCATTTTTGATCCGCAATTAGTTTTCCTGGAAGGCGAAAGAGGGGGTGAGGCCAGCTGCCACCCTGTTCTCCTGAGGAAAGGAAGGGTCCTTGGCACTGTGCCATCCAGGGGGGTTTGCCCACTTGCCAAGCTGCTTCCTGAGACAGAAGCAGCTCCTCCTTTAGGAGACAGGCAGGAGATGCTCTTGCTTCTCACTGCCAATCACCCTTCCCAGCTGAGCATGCAGCCCATGCACAAGCGCGATGCAGTGGTACCTCGGGTTAAGAACTTAATTCGTTCCAGAGGTCCATTCTTAACCTGAAACTGTTCTTAACCTGAAGCACCACTTTAGCTAATGGGGCCTCCCGCTGCTGCCGCCGGAGCACGATTTCTGTTCTCATCCTGAAGCAAAGTTCTTAACCCAAGGTACTATTTCTGGGTTAGCGGAGTCTGTAACCTGAAGCATCTGTAACCCGAAGTACCACTGTACTTGGAAACATTTTAGAAACTCTTCCATTACCCCATCCCGCCAGGGCCTATGAATAAATAAGAACTTCATTCATGTAACAAAGATATATTAAACCTTGATGCTTAAAGACTGGCTTCCCATTCGCCTTTATTTAAATCTTCAGAGATTTCCAAGGCCTGCAAGGGGGAAAACAGTGATTTGGCCACAAGACGCATAACTAAATGTTTTTTGAAACTTTCTTAATATGTTGATATCATTTCTAACTGACTGAGGACAGAAGTGCATTATGAAGGCTGTATGTGTCAAATTTTTTAAAGCTTTTAGTACATCAAATAGAGATTTTCTGTCACTGCTGGAACCTCAAGTATTTGGAAATGTATTTAAAATCCTTTAGCGCCATCTGGTGCTTACAGTCAAGATTTCTTCTTTTCAATCTGAATTCACTGAGGGTGATGGTCCTGAGAAATAAAATAGCAGAAAAGTACATTAATTAGGAAGTTGCTGTGCAGCCTGAGCATAGCCATGTTGATTCAGAAGTGTGCAATAAGTGGATAGCTCAGCTGGTTAGAACATGGTGTTTACAACAGCAGTGTTGCAGGTTCAATCCCCGTAAGGGACAGCTGCAGGGAGTTGGACTAGATGATCCTCAGCATAGCTGTCAACTTTTCCCTTTTCTTGCAAGGAATCCTATTCAGAATAAGAGAATTTCCCTTTAAAAAAAGAAGCGTTGACAGCTATGATCTTCAGGGTCCCTTCCTCCTCTATGATCCTATGAGATAAAACTGCAACCTTAAAATTCCACGTGGCGAGAGATCCCCAGCACATTGCACATTTTCTGTTTGTTTGCAATGTTAATGTCAAATTACGCAAACAGCAGCAGCAAAATTAAAATGGGATGGACACAGAAAGGGCAAGTGCATCTCATTTGATGCACTTGTCACACATACTAGATTTCTGAAACAAGAAATAATGGTATGCTGAATATTACTGCAACTATCTTAAGCCCACCTACTATGAAATAAGTCCTGTTTATTTTCATGGGGTAAACTTCCAAACAAGCAAGTTGAGGACTGTAGCCTTATTTTAAAGTATCCAGAGACAAAGTTGCCAAAAAAACCCTCAGGAAGAACCTATATAAATGCTGGTCTGGAGAGCAAGGCAGTGTTGCCCATCTGACTGCAACAATATCACTCTTGTCAATATACAGTGGTACCTCAGGTTACATACGCTTCAGGTTACATATGCTTCAGGTTACAGACTCCACTAACCCAGAAATATTACCTTGGGTTAAGAACTTTGCTTCAGGATGAGAACAGAAATCGTGCTCCGGCAGCGCGGCAGCAGCAGGAGGCCCCATTGGCTAAAGTGGTCTCCAGGTTAAGAACAGTTTCAGGTTAAGAACGGACCTCCAGAACAAATTAAGTTCTTAACCCGAGGTACCACTGTAGAGGGTATTTGGCAAGACCCAGCTGCCTGCTAGATTTGCAAACACGGTTGCCAACTTTTTTTCTAGGAGAGCTCCTGTGCCTTTAATCGCCATGTGAAAGTCAGAAATTCAACAAGTGAAGCTCCTCCGATGGAAGCAGGCTGGGGAACCTGCCGCCCACTTAAGGTACAAGGGAGATGGGTGAGAAAGGCAAGCCTATTTGCAGAGCGAAAAATGCTCAAGGTAATGCTTTATTCCTTATACAACAACATTTTCGAGACAATCATCATCACAAGCCTGGCAAATGTGGAATTATATTTGACTGACACACAACTCCGCCGTATTTTGTTTGCAATTTACTCTCATACTCACTTCATGGGGAACCATGTTTGTTTTACAGGCCTAGACATTGGGTATGTTTTGTTTCCTGTTCTTTGTTTCTAATACCCTGCTACAGCTGTTTTTCTAGTCATGCAGCCATTTAAAATGAAACATTTAAAAATATTTACTAATGTTGATATTTCTTCAGCGTTTAAGCATGTTCAAAGTCCGCCACATCTGTTATATCAGGAATAAGTCCATTGATCTTCCAAGTAGACACTGATAGGATCGAACTCTTAATCACTTCCAGGCAGAGTCAAATTTTGAAGTGGGGCCTATCAGTCTTTTTGTCACCATACTACACAATTTTACCCAAAAAATTCCTCAAATCACACCTGGGCAATAAATTCATAGGGGGCACAGAAGGGATTCAGAGTGTGGTCCATCTTGATAGTCATTCCCTAAATTTTCTGGGCTTGGGGAGAAGCCGTAGCTCAGTGAGAGAGACCATGGAGGAAGTCCCATGTGCAGTTTATGGCATCTCTAGTTATAAAGGATCAAGTGATGAGGAAAAAACCCTGCCTGGTATCCTGGTAAACGTCTGCCAGTCTGGGCGATCAATACTGACCAATGACCAGGCTCGCTGGGACTGGTCAGAGACCACCAACACCTGAAGGAGCACAGGTTCTCCATTCCTGGCAATTAGAAAGCTTCTTTGTAGTAAAGCCTGTGCTGGAAAATTCTTCTGCTAACAATTCCTCCCTCTTCCCTCCCTCCCTCTCTTTTGTTTGTACTGAGAGACAGGAACCACAGTCATTCTGCTTGCCTAGGAAAAGATGAGAAGCACCGATCTGAAACAGCGCCGGGTATATACAGCATGCCGCTGTCGCTCCTTCCCGCACTGGCTTTGTCTCATTGACAGTTGCTATCACTTGCATCAATAATTTAAAGTCACAGACACCACGGCCATGTAAATAATTTAAAAAAACACTATAACCCCCATCCATCCTTAGCGCAGAAAATCAGCTGGGCTCCAAACTTTTCCTAACTAACATATGTCACAAGGTATCTGCGCCGCAGCCAAGCAGCAACTGCAGCTGGAAATAATATATAGGAAGAAGAATATAGTTTCATAGTATGTTTTGCAGAACAGAGACTTTGTTGAACTGGGGGTATTGCTGTTTTCCCATCTAAGTGATGAAACGTGAGAGTCTCAGACTGCTACCAAAATACAATGCATCGCAACAGGGGGAGCTGAAATCCTGTCAGCAGAAATATTCTACAGAAGAATGAGGGCATTATTAAGTTGAAGGAAAACCTTAAATAAATAATCATGGAGTGGGGTCAGGGAGCTCCCAGTGTCTAGGACTCATCTTGCTTGTTCACTCACTCCCCACCCTCTCCCCGTCGCCGCCGCCACCAAGTTAAAAAAGTAACAAGTGGCTGAAAGCACTGGATTCCCCACCCCCTTTGTCGAATTCACTTTTATACATCTGTATAAAAGAATATAAAATCACTTCCTTGCAGAAGAGTTTTTGAATGAGGAAGCTTGGATTGTATTATTATTATTTATTAATTTTCTATACTGCCCTTCATCCAGTGATCACAGGGTGGTTCACAATATTAAAACACAAGAATACACAACATAGTAAGAAACAGAAACAATTTAAGTGCCTTACACCAAGTCAGATCCATAGCCCAGTGCTGTCTATTTTGGATGGAACTGACTTGTCAGTTCTTGAAGTTAGCTGAGCTGGCAAATAGCTGCACAATGGAAGGATTCTGCAAATCAGTTTCTGTGATTATGGCTGCTGCTGCTTCTGTCTTCCCCATCTCCTCAGATGGTGCATTGCTCACACGAGTAGACCACTTGGGGGAGACTGAACTACTCTTTGCTCATATTGGTTTGGCTGAAAAAGACTCTCTCAAGCTCCACTTGCCCATCTTACATTGAACCTAAAGCCCAGAGCATTTTCTACAAAATCATATTTATTCATTTATTTATACAGATAGACAGACAGACATACCCTGCCTTTTTCCCAAACAGGGACTGAACAGCTAAAGAACAGCTAAGAACAGCTAAAAAATTGGAAGGGGGAATCATTCATTAAAAAACAATGAAACATTTAAACATAATACCAATTAGACAGGTGGATGTGCTTATGATCAGATCAAAACACACTATGGAGTTGTTGTTATATAGCTCCTAACTGAATGGGTATTTTTGAACCCCTGCCAGAAGAACAACGTGTGTTAGAGAATAATTACAAGACCCAGTAGTGAAATCTATCCACAGACAAGGATGGGATTCCCACCGTTTTGCCGTTTCCTTTCCCCCGCAATTCCTGTACTGTTCACAGGAGCGTGGCAAGCAGGAATTTGGCTAGTGAAACTTTTCACTTCACCGTATCAGAGTGCTGGCAAGTCGTTTCCTTGCTCAGTTCCTTTTCCCCATGTAACTGTTAAAATGCACCGGCTCTTTCCCCAAGAGGGAGAGAACTGGCCATCCTGAGTGGCTTGAAGGCAAGTGGTGCAACTCTGCAGCTTAAGCAGAACTATAAGCTGCCAGAGGAGGCTTTTTGGAGGAACAGCAAAGCGTGTGTGTCCTCACCAGGGCTGCACGCTGATTAAAGAAAGCATTGATCAGTTAGAATCATAGAATAATAGAATCATAGAGTTGGAAGAGACCACAAGGGCCATCAAGTCCAACCGCCTGCCAAGCAGGAAACACCATCAGAGCACTCCTGACATATGGTTGTCAAGCCTCTGCTTAAAGACCTCCAAAGAAGGAGACTCCACCACACTCCTTGGCAGCAAATTCCACTGTCAAACAGCTCTTACTGTCAGGAAGTTCTTCCTAATGTTTAGGTGGAATCTTCTTTCTTGTAGTTTGGATCCATTGCTCCGTGTCCGCTTCTCTGGAGCAGCAGAAAACAACCTTTCTCCCTCCTCTATGTGACATCCTTTTATATATTTGAACATGGCTATCATATCACCCCTTAACCTCCTCTTCTCCAGGCTAAACATGCCCAGCTCCCTTAGCCGTTCCTCATAAGGCATCGTTTCCAGGCCTTTGACCATTTTGGTTGCCCTCCTCTGGACACGTTCCAGTTTGTCAGTGTCCTTCTTGAACTGTGGTGCCCAGAACTGTGTGGTACACAGTACTCCAGGTGAGGTCTGACCAGAGCAGAATACAGTGGCACTATTACTTCCCTTGATCTAGATGCTATACTCCTATTGATGCAGCCCAGAATTGCTTTGGCTTTTTAGCTGCCGCGTCACACTGTTGGCTCATGTCAAGTTTGTGGTCAACCAAGACTCCTAGATCCTTTTCACATGTACTGCTCTCAAGCCAGGTGTCCCCCATCTTGTATTTGTGCCTCTCATTTTTTTGCCCAAGTGCAATACTTTACATTTCTCCCTGTTAAAATTCATCTTGTTTGTTTTGGCCCAGTTCTCTAATCTGTCAAGGTCGTTTTGAAGTGTGATCCTGTCCTCTGGGGTGTTAGCCACCCCTCCCAGTTTGGTGTCATCTGCAATTTGATCAGGATGCCCTTGAGTCCATCATCCAAGTCGTTGATAAAGATGTTGAATAAGACCGGGCCCAAGACAGAACCCTGTGGCACCCCACTAGTCACTCTTCTCCAGGATGAAGAGGAACCATTGATGAGCACCCTTTGGGTTCGGTCAGTCAGCCAGTTACAAATCCACTGAGTGGTAGCATAGTCAAGACCGCATTTTACCAGCTTCTTTACAAGAATATCATGGGGCACCTTGTCAAATGCCTTGCTGAAATCAAGGTAGGATACATCCACTGCGTTCCCTTCATCTATCAGGCTTGTAATTCTGTCAAAAAACGAGATCAGGTTAGT